CTCCTTACTCTAAGGATATATCATAGTCCTATAAAAGCTTTATTTTAAAAATTCCCTTAGCTTTTCTCTAAGACCTTTACTGTACACAAAATGAGTAAACAAATGCTTATTCATTTGAAAAGTATTTCTTAAAGTTTGTAAGCAAGCCTTCTGACTCCACTAGGACTAAGGAAGAATCATGCTATTTTGTGACTGGAAAAACTCAGACATATAGTATCTCAAGATTTTACTAAGTCTTACCGAATTTAGACATATACCAAGTTAGTACTTTTTAAAAAACTTACAATGAAATTCCATTAAAAATGAGTAATCTTCCAAAATGTAGATATATTATGCATATTGCATTCAATTAATACAACTATTTTACTCACCAACTCCATTAAATCTTTTAACTTCCCAATTTCTTCTGGAATAGATACTAGTTTATTATTACTGACGACCAAAACTTTAAGGGGAAGATCAAATAGGTATTTTGGCAATGTTGATAAAAGATTTCGGCTGAAAAGAATGAGAAAGTTTCTTTATGAGAGTATGTATGTAATGTGACATATTAAAAATGAAGAAATCACTTTTTAAGTAAGTAATATTCTATCACTAAGTAATAACTTAATAATTACTTACTGAGTGCTCACTTTGTATCAGGCACAGTGGTAACTTTCTTATAAGCACTGTCTCATTTAATCCTCATGTTGATGACACAAGATTAAGTAGTTATTATCTCCATTATACAAATCAGAAAATGAAAGTTAAAACTGCTTAAGTGATTTGCCCAAGTACTGCAGAGATTCATAGCATAGCAAAGCCTATGCAGGCAGACCTATGATACTACTCTACACACTGTCAGTTCTCAAAAACACAGAATGATTCTTCTGAGCTCAATAATGTCAGAACTTTGCTCCTTGATATAATTCTGGCATATTCAATACTTCCATGCTAGGGAAAGTCTCCAGGGATAAATGTGCATGCACTATGTTCAAGTTTATAAAAGAATGAATAGGACTATATCTTCAAAAACATGTAGTAACCCTAACCCATTCCCTTTTAAGGTTTAACAGCCTATTAGCCCTTTATCTCAGCCCAAAGTTGATAAAACATTCTTATCTTTGTAGATACATTTAAATATAATAACTAACATTTTACTGAGTGCCTACTATTGCCAGGCCATGTTCAGAGCAGCTCATGTGAATTAACTCTCACAGTGATCCTCATTTTGCAGATGAAGAAATAGTCACAAGAGTGTAAATAAACTGCTCAAAGTCACACAGCTGAAAGTGGGAGAGGCAGGATTCAAACCCAGGCAATCTGGCTCTGGGGTCTTTGCCCTCAAAGTACTATGGTCAAATTTATATGCCAAAACAGACTGACTGACCCAAATGAACCACTACCAAAATGTATATGTTTCCATTCCATTTACATACTAACAAGCATTGGTAAGCGATAAGCTATTATTTTTCCTATTTTTCAAAGTGACATTTATAGACCTATACCTAGCATTTCATGTAACATACACAGCAACAAAAGTCCAGTATTACTCAAGTGGGGACTTGAAGACCGTCCTCCCCATCTTTTCTGTGGCAAAGGACATCCAGAAATACTAAACTGGCTTTAATAACACAGCACAAACAAACAAACAAACAAACAAACAAATGGCAATGCCCCTCAACTAGCAATACTGGCCAGACTGCTAGAACGTCAAATATGCTAGGGTCCTGTCATAATCCTTCATACTTTCAGGATCAAGCAGGCTCCCTGGAGAAATGGTCTGCCTGGGGCCCTTCACACCAGGGCACACAAGGATCTTTCTATAGGATTCTACTGAAAAAGGGGGGGGGGGGTAGTATATAGGAAGAAAGAACAGTTGAAAATTATTTAACAAGTTTATTAAGATATTTTTACCAAAATAAATAAATACATGGAAGAAATAATGGCGAACTCATTCTAATACATCTTCAGGCCAAAAATAGCTTAAAAATTATTTTCTTCCCTTAAAAAGCATATTCAGGCCAAGCACAGTGGCTCATGCTTGTAATTCCAGCACTTCTGGGAGGCCAAGGCGGGCAAATCATTTGAGGTCAGGAGTTTGAGACCAGCCTGGCCAACATGGTGAAACACTGTCTCTACTAAAAATTAGCCGGGCCTGGTGGCAGGCACCTGTAGTTCCAGCTACTTGAGAGGCTGAGGCAGGTGAATCATATGAACTTGGGAGGTGGAGGTTGCAGTGAGCCAAGATGGTGCCACTCCACCCTGAGAGACAGAGCAAGACTCCGTCTAAAAAAAAAAAAAAAAAAAAAAAAGGCATATTCATAGAGTTAACACAATCATCTTTCACCAGGATCTGGTTTCTTCATACTGGCAAACAAATTATTAATTGTCCCTTTTTTACTACATGCTTTAAAGAGGAATTCACTCACTAGAACAAATGTTATTTCAATATAGTTTGCTCAAAGATTTTTGTGACTGTAAAAAAAAAATCAAAGTTGACTTTTACAGATCATGACAGGATAGAATTAGAGAACATTTTAGTAAAACTAAGATTACCATATGTGTTAATAGAGAAATGTAATTCAGTTTTTGGCAAATCACTTTTTCCGCAAAAGAACAAAATGAAACAGAAACAAAGACAAAACTTAAAAACACCCCATTTTCCTCAAACCTCTCCTAAGCCAGGCCAAGGAGATTTATACCTACTTAGAGAAAGGACAACCCAAATGACTGACATCTATGGAAGGAAACCTCCCTCACACATTTTAAGGTGTAAAGTGGTTTCAGTTAAAATAGCTTGTACTGTCAGGTAACACCACTAGGAGAGTCATATAAAAGAACTGATATATCACAGTGAGAAGGGAACATCATCATTTATGTATATTAATTATATTTACTACTTCTCCATATGGGAATTTAGACAAGTAACTTGGTTAATGAGGAGATTATCCCTTCCAACTGAATAAAAAAAGAAAAAATTTCTAAAATTAAGTCACAATATATCAATTTTCATTCAATGTTACTGATTTGGCAGGGAAAGGTTTTTCTTATAATTAGTAAGTGTTCACTCTTTTATATATATAGGGTAAAAGCTATGTATGAATGAGTGCTCTACAGCCAGACTGCTTTGATTTTAATCTTGGCTCTACCACTTGCTGAATATATCTATGAATTTGGACAAAGAGCTTAACCCAGTTTCCTCATCTGTAATGCAGGGATAACAACAGTACCTATCTCAAAATGCTGTCATGAAAACTAGATAAGGTAATATGGGTAAAGTGTTTGGAACACGGCCTAGCACATGGTAAGTACTTACTAAGTATAAACATGAACTGTCATCCACTTCCAAACCTTTCAATATTCTCATCCCACTCTAACCATCCTTCAAGTAGAAGCAGGAAGTCACAAAAGTGAGAAAAAATAACTCAAGCACTGTTTGTTTCACATATCTAAGGATGCATATAAAATCTGTATAGTGGTGCTATAATTTCTGGAAAATATTTATGGTCTAAAACCTTGCTACTCAAACTGAGGTCTAAGGACCAGCAGGTAGGCATGAGCATTGCCAAGGGGCTTGTTAGAAATGCAGGCCCCACAACAGACCTAAGAAATTACAATCTGCATTCTAACAGATGCCCAGGTAATTCCTGTGTGTTAAAGTTTGCAAAGCTCTGCTCTCAAGAAAAGCCTACAAAATAATGTGAACATAAAAAAACACAAATAAGATACTGTTGAGATAAATTTAAGCTACACAGCCAAATCAAACATATTCCTTTGCCACTAAAAAAGGATTAGAACGACAATAAAAACCAAAATTTATTTTTAAATTGTTTCCTTACCTAATGTTAAGGTACGTTAACATCTGTAGATTTTTAATGGCTTCAGGAATGCTTTTGATGCAATTATGATATAAATTTAATGTTTCAAGGGGTGCAAATAACCAGACATCAGAAGGAATTTCTGTAAAACGATTTCTGGAAAGATCTGGAAAAAAAAATAGTGTCTGAGTATTAAACATATACCAATATCTATGGTAATTAAAAGAACTATTTTCACACTTGCTGAATCACTTAGAATCTAAGCAACTACTTAAAATACTTTAAAATATACAATATTATCCATCAATACCTTGAAGGCATTTAGAAATACACTCATACGGCTGGGCGCGGTGGCTCACACCTGTAATACCAGCACTTTGGGAGGCCAAAGCAGGCAGATCTTTTGAGCTAAGGAGTTGGAGACCAGCCTGGCCAACACGGTGAAACCCTGTCTCTACTAAAAACACAAAAATTAGCTGGATGTGGTGGTGGGCCCCTGTAATCCCAGCTCCTCAGGAGGATGAGGCAGGAGAATCGCTTGAACCCCGGAGGCTCAGAGGTTGCAGGGAGCTGAGATCACCCCGCTACACTCCAGCCTGGGTGACAGAGCGAGACTCTGTCTCAAAAAAAAAAAAAAAAAAAAACTCACAGAATGCATGTCTATTAACCAAACGTATTTGATATGCTTCAGTATACCTAAATTTCAAATATGCGATTTGTCTTTTAAAATACCAATGAAGAATTATCTCTGATCTTTAAAAGCAAACACAAAACTACCTCCCACGATCCCACATCCCCCTCCATCTGCCTCTTCTTTTACAGCCAAACTTACATAAATCTACAACACAACTAAATTTATTACTTACCATGGACTTCTCAACCCACTACAATTTGGTTTCTATCCACTCTCACATCCACCAATGTTACCAACAACCACCATATCAATAACCATTCCATATGTCTGGAAAGATTATTTTCCTTTGGCTTAGAAGACTACACTTCTGGGATCTCTTCTACCTCTCTGGCTACTTCTTATTTTCTTTTCCTAGGTTTTCCTCTATCTGTATCATAAACGTTGTTGTTCCCAAGAACTATGACTAAGGTACTCTTTTCCTTCTTGAGACATACACCCCCCAACCGGTAGGAGCCGCCCTCTACGAGAGTGCTGGAAGACCGCGACTGAGTTGCTGCCTCATCACCTCCCACTGCCTCTGACCCACCATTCGAAAAGCAGACATGATGGAAGCGGATCGCCCAGAGAAGCTTTTCGTTGGGGGCCTCAACCTCAAAACCGACGACAAAGCCCTCAAGGCTGAGTTTGTCAAGTATGGCCGCATCATCAACGTTTTCCTGATGAAAGACCGAGAAACCAACAAATCGAGGGGCTTTGCGTTCGTCACCTTCGAAAGCCCTGCAGATGCCAAGGCCGCAGCCAGAGATCTGAATGGCAAGTACCTTGATGGTAAGGCCATCAAGGTGGCCCGGGCCATCAAACCAGCATTCAAGAGCAGCCGGTGGGGGCCGCCGCCCCCCGGCAGCAGCAGTCGCTCGAGGTTCCCACACGGAACCCGTGGGTGTGGCAGCAGCCCACAGCGACCCCACTCCTGGGGCGGGCCTGATGATGGCCACGGCTACGCGGGGTATTTTGACCAGTGGCCCTACAGGGCCCCGATGCCCAGGAAGCGTGGGCCACCGCCACAGCGCTGGGCCAGCCCACTCCGCAAGAGGGCCGCGCCGTCGAGCCTGGCTCGCAGCGTTGGCAGTGCAATGCGCGGGAAGGCCCTAGCTGTGTGGGGGCGAGATGGCTACTCAAGCGTGCAGCTGCAGCGCTGGGCGGGCCCACCCCGCAAGAGGGCTGCGCCCCCGTCGAGCCTGGCTCGCATTGGTGGCGGTGGAATGTCTGGGAAGGCGCCGGCCATGTGGGGGCGAGAGGGTTACTCAGGCCCACTGCTCCGGGAGCCACTGTCCCGCTGCCGCGACCCCGGGGATTTTATCTCCGCGCTCAGAGAGTACAGCCGCCGCTATTATAGCCACTCCAGTGTCCGGGACTACTGTCCCTTGAGAGGCTATGGCAAGCAAAACAGCTACAGGGGTTGCGACCGTGACTACGTGGATCATCCCAGCAGAGGCTCCTACCGAGAGCCCCTCGAGAGCTACAGAGGCCCGTGCCGCGCCACCCCTGGGCGGGGGACACCGCCATCTTACGGAGGAGGATACCGCTATGAGGGGTACCGGGGCCGCTCACCCGACGCCTTGCCCGTCACCTTGCCAGATGCCTACAGCGGGGGCCGCGACAGTTCCAGCAACGGCCGGAGCGACCGCTATGGAGGAAGAGGCCACTACGAGGAGTATAGAGGCCCTTCCCCTGACACCTACAGCGGGGGCCGCTCGCCCATCCCCTACAGCAGAGGCCACGACAGTTCCAGCAACAGTTACAGCTGGAGCCACTGCTACAGAGGAGGAGGCCACTACGAGGAGTACGAAGGTCGCTCGCCCAAGGCCACCAACAGCGGGGGCCGCTCGCCCGAGGCCGCCAACACCGGGGGCCGCTCGCCCGAGGCCGCCTACAGCCGGGGCCGCTCGCCCGAGGCCGCCTACAGCGGGGGCCGCTCGCCGGAGGCCGCCTACAGCGGGGGCCGCCAAAGTTCCAGCAACAGTTACCGCGGGAGCCAACGCTATGGAGGCGGAGGCCACTACGAGGAGTACCGAGGCTGCTCGCAGGACACCCACAGCGGGGGCCGCTCGCCTGACACCCACAGCGGTGGCCGCTATCCCAGTGCTCACACTGGGGGCCACTCGCCCGACGCCCACAGCGGGGACCGCTCCACCGATGCCTGCAGCAGGGGCCACGACAGTTCCAGCAACAGTTACGGCCGGAGCGACCACTACGGAGGAGGAGGCAGCTACGAGGAGTACCGAGGCCACTCGCCCGACACCTACAGCAGGGGCCGCCACAGTTCCAGCAACAGTCATGGCCGGAGCCACCGCTACGGAGGAGGAGGCCGCTACGAGGAGTATGGAGGCCGCTCGCCTGATGCCTACGGTGGGGGCCACGACAATTCCATCAGCAGCTACGGCCTGAGTGACCGCTACGCAGGAGGAGGCCGCTATAAGGAGTACCTGGGCAGCTCGCCCGACGCCTACGGTGGGGGCCGCAACAGTTCCAGCAACAGTTACGGCCGGAGCGATAGCTACTCGAGAGGTCGAGATCGGGTAGGCACACCGGATCTTGGGCTCCCTCTGCCCATGGAAAGGAGCAGCCCTCCCCTGCATGATTCTTACAGCCGGTCGAGCTGCAGGGTGCCCAGGGGTGGAGGCCGTCAAGGAGGCCGCTTGGAGAGAGGGGAAGGCTGGAGCAGATACTAACTAAGCAGGAACAGACTTGGGACCAAAAATTCCTTTTCAAAGAAACAAAAAGAACAACCTGTTCTATATTAAACTACCCAAGGACTAGTATAAGTAAGAGTTGTTTTTACCTTTTAAGAATTTCCTGTTAAGATCTCCATTTTTATGCTTTTGTGAGGAAAAACTTAAAATTTCTTTAGTTTGAAATTGTTAATGTTTCTTTCAACCAGTTCATGTTAAAAGTGTAAGATATGAACCTGAGTCCTAGTCGTCTTCTATTTACAAGTTGAAATACGATTAATGGCTTCTTTGCTTGTAAATTTGTCTGATAAATGAGGCAAACAGTTCTAAGATCTTTCATAAACATCTGCTTACCTAAAATGGAAAAATGGATCATTCTGCTCATTTAAACCAACTAGATTTTGGGTGGAGAGTGGGAGGGATTGGTGTATTTCAGATTTCAGGGTATCTTTCTAACTGAATCTCAGTGTTCCCAGTATTAAAAACCAAACAACCAGCAACAACAACAACAAAAATGATTTAGATCAAATGTTTATGAAAAGAAAATTATGTTCACTCAGTAAATCTGAAAAGTAAATGGAAAAAAAAAGATATACACTCTACTGGGTGATTTCATCCATCCTAGGTCCAAATTATATTTATATACTGATGAATTGCAAATTAAGGATATGTCTAAAAGCCTATGTTCTGATCTTCAGGACTTCACCTTGATATCTCTCAGGCACCTCAAATTCTACAAGTATAAAATCTGAAATGAAGATCTTTTCCCACACTTCTATTTTTTTTTTTCTTCTCATCTCAATGTCAACAACATCCTCCTGGTGAGTTGCTCAAGCCAGAAACCTGGTATTCATCCTTGATTCCTTTGTCTCCTAAATTATTGCAAGTACACACAAATATACTTCCATTCATTTAAATTTTCACAAAAATAAAATCATGGAATTGTTAAAACCATTACTCCTCTATTAAGGGTTTATTTGTTAAATGAATTTTGAAAAATACTTAGGACATTGCAGTAGTGGGTTGAAAAACAAATACTCTAGAAGAGAGTTGGCTCAACCTCACCACTGTGGACGTCTGATAACCATTGTGGGGGGCTATCCTGGCCACTGTAGGATACTTAGCAGCATCTCTGGCATCTACCCACTAGATGCCAGCAAAATAACCTCTATTCATGGCAGACAAATAATGTCCCCAAAGGTACAAACCCCCAACAACTACCTGAATATCAAGTTAGTTACCTTATCATAGAAATTTACTTTGCTCACACTAGCCCATTATACTTAATTGGTTAAAAACGTAAGAAAATTTTGTGCCTCTGTTAGGAAGAGCATGCAGTTTAGTTCAATGTATCTCATTTAGTATCTGGTCTGCCCTCATAAAAACAACCTCCTATCAATAATGCTCAACTTCATTCCAAGGGATGAGACCTATTCACTTAGCAATATAGTAAGTTCCTTATTCAGAACATTAACATATGTATTACTACATATGTAATATATAGAGATACATATAGAGGAGATAGATATATATTCTCACTCTTAACCTAATGTAAAATTATATAACTGGCAAAAAAAAAAGTTATGTTTATATAATATAAAAATTAATTTCTATTCTTCCTCCTCCCACCATAAAATTCTGAATAACTTAAAAAACAATAGAATTACTAGAAACCAAAATCTGAACTAGAAACAAATGTTTCCCAATATTCTGGCTTACCTCCTCTGGATACCCAAGCATCACACAGTTCTATTAGGGAGGAAAATGAAGTCACTGTTTTTAGTTTAGGATTTTTTTTTTTATATTTAGGGTTTTACCTCTTATTCTTGTAACTTCAGAATTCTGGGAGTTCAAAATTAGTGTTTACAATTAATTTGAAATCCTAAAAACAAAATTATGCTCAGTTTGTTATTCTGTATAATACCTAGTATTAGGCACTCATAAATAATACAGTGGTCTCAGAGATAGATGATAGTAACTTGTATTAAGATTGCAAGAATAGGGATAAGAGAAAGTGGATAAAATTTGAAATATATTTTGAAATTAGTACTCACAGGGAGTGGCAAGGAACTAGGTATGTGGAAGAAACGAGAGGAAAGAATCAAGGATGGCACCCAGGATTCTGGCCTAGACAGCTAAAATAATATTATCTAATAAACAGTGGGAGTGTAACAGGATTTTTGTAGTTTCTTCTGCTGGTGAGGTTTTTGCTTTGGTTTTTTTTTTTGAAACAGAGGTGCAATGAAGGGTTCAAGTTTATATCTGTATAAACCGAGACATCTGAGAGAGACTCAAAGAGGGGCTGTTAAATGGGCATTAGACAGATGAATCTTGATCTCCTAAGTGAAGTCTGGGATAGATATATAAAATTGAAAGTTGTGGCCAGGCACAGTGGCTCACGCCTGTAATCCCAGCACTTTGGGAGGCCGACATGGGCGGATCACAAGGTCAGGAGTTCGAGACCAGCCTGACCAACAATGGTGAAACCCCCATCTCTTTCTAAAAATACAAAATTTAGCCAGGTATGGTGGTGCGCACCTGTAATTCCAGCTACTCAGGAGACTAAGGCAGGAGAATTGCTTGAACCCGGGAGGCAGAGGTTGCAGTGAGCCGAGATTGTGCCACTGAACTCCAGCCTGAGCGACAGAATGAGATTCCATCTCAAAACACAAACAAACAAAAAAAAATTTGAAAGTTGTAGGAATATGGTTAGTTCTATTAAATCACAGAAATGGAGGACATCACCTAATATCAGAGTATCGAATTAGAGGACAAAGAATGGGCTATCAGGAAGGCCAACAGTTAGAAAGTGAGTACAGAAAAAACAGCAAGCAGAGAAGTCTGAAAATAATGGTCATAAGAAAACACAGTAACCATATGAAAAGATCAAAGAAGCTCAAAAAGTGACAGGAGGCTGACCTTTGTTTTCCAAGATAGCTGACTAAAAACATTTCCAGCATGCCTCATCCACTTAGAAAAACCAAAGTGGTATGCAGACAATCACACTTTGAATACATTATCCAACAAGGAACACAGGGTTCAACAGAAAAAGTGAAAGGAAACTCCAAAATCTGGGAATGAGAAGGAAAGCAGACAGCCTGTGTGGTCAAGACTGGCTGGGAACTGGCAATGAATCCCCAATACAAGAGAGAGTGAATATCTTTCTGCAGTCCACTTTCCCACTGGGGAATCATACAATTCAGGCCACAGGAGAGCACCCTGACCCACCCAAATTCTGAATCTGATTTAGGGAGCATCCAGGAGACTATGAGAAGGAACAGCTCCAGGGAGGCAACATGCCCTGGGTCCCACACAATTCCTGAGAACTAAGTAGCCACAGTAAGATGCCATTCTTAATCCTAGCTCTTAGCAACTATGAGTGGTCCTGGAAATCTGCAGCACCAGTCTTGGCCATTGGGGAAGATCAGGTTGCATCTTGTGGAGCAGGGGCTTGAGCAGGAATGGGGATCAATGGGGATCCCACAACCAAAACTAAGAAGCAGACATGGCATGGGCTGCAGTCTCTGGCACTGGAACCAGGCTCCCAATGCTCCAATCCTGAGCAGGATGAGTTACTGCAGAGGCTTGGTCTTGAGCTGGGTGCTGGCTTCTATGGCTCATGGTTGAATTACGGGCTAGGTGCAAACTGCCATACTAACAGAACAGCCAGGTTGGCTGCCACAGCTGGGATGGGGGAGGGACAGCAGTGGTCTCATCCTCCCTGGCACCTATGGCACGACCTCAGCACAGCAGCAGTCACCTCTCACCCAAGCATTTCACCAGAGGCGTGAGGACTACACTGCCTGCCCTACCCCCACGTCATAGTTCATGCATGCACTTGCCATTGGGAAGTGTTGAGTACAAGCTTGCCCAGTCTGGATCCACCCAGCTTCACCCCCCTAACCCTATGCCAACACAAACTGGTGGGGGGGGGCCAGGTTCTGGGTGTTCCACAACCCAATCCACCACCTGGGGCACATGAGCACTTCTAGGGGACAGAGACTGAGCATAAACACCCTACTTCTACAGTCTCAGTTGGCTCTTACCTGCAAGCACCACCTTCTGACCTAGAAGCCAGTTTGCACAGCCTGTTGCAACCACTTCCAGCACAAGAGCACAGTGCAAGGGAACAAGGAGAACATCTCACCACCACTGCTACATCTATCACCCTCACTACCCCAGCTGCTCGGGAGCTCGAAAGCCTTCTTATATGCCTGGTATACTGCTACTAAAACTGGCATCTGAGAAAGCCACCCATATGCCCAAACATTAGCCTGCCTGGAAACTGCCAACACAGGAGCCAGCATATGCTGTCCCAGGTCACAAGGATAGACATACTTGGCACACTTCTGCTACCATTAAAACCTGATGATGGGCCCATCAGGCACTCAAGTCACAAGCACAACTTCACCACAGGCCCCGCCAAGAACCACACATTACCACAATGAAGATAGCCATATAAATTATACACAGTCTTCACTACTGCATGCACCTGAAAGCAAAGCCAGACGGCCTTACCCAACTAACATCATTGTCACATCTTCAAGAAAAAAGTCCCCCATCCACATGAAAGTCATTTTTTAAAAAAGAAGATGTAACTATGAAGCCAGATGAGCAGAAACTAACATAAAGATACAGAAAACATGAAAAAGCTAGGTAATATGATGGCCTCAAATGAATGCAGTAATTCTCCAGCAATAGATCCTAACCAAAAAAGAAAAAAAAATCCTCAAAATCCCAGATAAAGAATTCAAAATACTGATTTTAAAGAAGCTCAATGAGATGCCAGAGAAATCTAAAAACCAATACAAAGAACTCAAAAAATCAATTCAGAATACAAATAAAACCTTTTAACATGGAGATAAATATCTTTAAAAGATAAAAAGGCCGAGTACAGTGGCTAATGCCTATAATCTCAGCACTTTGGGAGGCCAAGGTAAGAGGCCTGCTTGAACCCAGGTGTTTAGGACCAGTTTCGGCAACATAGCGAGAACCTGTCT